TTTCAAGCCATAGTATCCACGAAGATAGTCATCACATAATTCGATGCTTCTACAAAACCTTCGCAAAGAGTCTGCAAGGTACCGGTCTGAGTTCGAATCATTCACACCTGCGGCAATGTATAAAATCTCTCCGAGTCGGGCGTGCATCTGCGTTTAGTTGTTAGCATATTTACAGCTTCCAACAAAGATACTAGGCCGCCCACATTCCATGCATTAGGTGTGATGAGCAGGACCTCTTCCAATGCAAAAATTCCTTGTGGATACATGCCCTGCGAAACATAAAGATCTGCCAACTCTGCCCAGGATTCTGCATCCGTGGGGGATAAGTCCAACAACTCATTGAGTGCGGTAATTGCCTCTGAGGTTTTTCCAAGTGACCTGAGAACCGAAATACGACGTTTCAAGATAGGCTACACAGCTCAGTAAGTGTTTTTGTGGAAACACGTTCGAGTAAGCTTACCATGTTATTTGGATTATCCGACAAGTTTTGTTCGTATCCGTCCAGTACTTTTTGTAATGCTGCATTGTCTTCTGCGTTGACTTCACAGAGTAATCCTCTCATTGCCATAATCCGCTCGTTTTCAACCCCGAACCTTTCCTGGAGTCGCTTGATGCATAACTGCGCAGATTTCTCATCGCCAGTTCGCAAGCATGACATTAATAGGTTTTCGTAAGTAGTCCACAATTCTGGTGATTCCGCAGCCGTCCAAATCGAGCTTAAAGACCATGATGATATCGATGAAGGTGTGTTTCGCAATATAGAGGGAGCTTGTTGAGAGTTTTGCAAGGCCAGTGCTGGCGGGAGATGTGCAGGTGGGTGTAAGAGTGCAGAGGACATGATTGTAGTATTTCGGATGTTCTAGAGGTGGCTTTTGTGGAAGAAGAAGAGTGCAGTATGAAAATCCGGGGTTGTAAGCTCGATTAAAGTAGGGACAGCTTGTGATTGTGAAGCTCTCCACATAAAGTTTAGCTCTCACGGCTGCTTTGACGTTTTTCAAAGTTTATGCCTTATCTGTGATGTTAATGCCTTAGTATCTTTATCGATGCGGGCGGTGTAAAGCTAGTGGGGGGATGGGTATCGGATGGACACTTGCATCTTTAGTCAACATAGAAGAAACTCATTACAGCATTGGAACAATCGCATTTAGTTTCAAATCTCCGCCAATTTCAGGAAGCCTCAAGTCATGCGCGTCGTATCTGCTGGACATTCAACGCTCCGTTAATCCAATTTCTTAATGGAGGACCACTTGATACAAATATAAGCCCTCAAAGATGTACGCCCTTGCTCGGAACAACCATACTTTCATTCAGGATAATGTACTAAAGCTTTAACAGGTTTGAAAAGTCGTTGTATGACCTCATTCGAGGTCTGCGAAACCACAAAGGCAACGAGAAGGAGTATATTCAAAATAGTCTGAAAGAATGTCGTGCGGAAATCAAAGGATCCGACATGGGTTAGAATCTATGGCAGAAGAAGAGGGTGCATTTTAACTGACGGATAAAACGCAGACCTCAAGGCTACGGCCTTGCTGAAACTGGTTTACCTGGAAATGTTTGGACATGATATGTCATGGGCTTCCTTTCATGTTCTCGAAGTTATGTCCTCGCCAAAATACCTGCAGAAACGAGTCGGATATTTGGGCGCTGTGCAGAGTTTCCGACCGGATACTGAAGTTCTGATGTTGGCTACAAACCTCTTGAAGAAGGTACGATATTCTAAGTGATTCTTAAGTATTGTACTTAGGCATATACAGGATTTGAGTTCCGCGACACCGACAACAATGTCTTTACCAATCATAACATTACCGCATGTCATTACTCCTTCACTTGCACTATCGGTTCTCTCAGACTTGTTACCTCGAATGACACATTCCCATCCAACGATTCGCAAGAAAACTATTGTCACACTTTATAGATTGGCTCTAGTCTATCCAGAAACATTACGTCCGGCATGGCCAAAAATCAAAGAGCGATTGATGGATGAAGGCGAAGATCCAAGTGTTACAGCTGCAATTGTCAATGTGGTTTGTGAATTGGGATGGCGGAGACCTCAAGACTTCTTACCACTCGCCCCGAGGTTATTCGAGCTCCTTGTTGATAGTGGAAATAACTGGATGGCCATCAAACTCATTAAACTGGTTAGTTTCAAATCTTGTACTAGGAACTATATCTTGACACACGTCTAGTTCGCTACCTTGACTCCGCTTGAGCCAAGATTGGTCAAAAAACTTTTACCACCACTTACATCTATCATTCGAACCACTCCAGCAATGTCACTGCTATATGAATGTATAAATGGTATTATATTAGGCGGAATTCTAGGAAGCAGTGAGGAATCGGCAGGCGGGGAAGAGATAGCCACTCTTTGTGTGAGCAAGTTGCGGGGTATGATTATGGTTGAGGGAGATCCTAATCGTAAGTCTTGAGTTCCTCAGCAAATGACTGATGCTAAAGATTTACAGTAAAATATGTCGCTCTACTCGCTTTCAACAAGATTGTTGTTACTCACCCATTTCTTGTCGCTCAACAAGAAGATGTAATAATGGACTGTATCGATAGTCCTGATATCTCAATTCGCTTACGCGCATTAGACTTAGTTGTAGGTATGGTCAGCAGCGACAATTTGATGTCGATTGTTGGGAGGTTGATGAGACAACTCCGAAGTTCCCCTTCAATGCCTGCAAGTAGTTCAAATCCTCGACCAGCTGGTCACATTGAACCGGAAGCAGATTCAGACGATGAGGCCCCGGAAGTTGCCATAAGGTATGATAGGGGGGCATCACAAGATTTGTTATTGCCTGATGATTATAAGGTGGATGTCATCACCAGAATACTCCAAATGTGCTCGATAAATAATTATGCTAATCTCGTCGATTTCGACTGGTATATCGATATTTTAATTCAACTCGTCAGGAATGCTCCGATCACAAATGCGACCTCAAACCAAGAAACGGATGAATCCTCAGATGACGATATTTCTGAAAGAATTGGAGATGAATTGCGAAATGTTGCCGTTAAGGTAAAAGCAGTTCGATCTCAAGCGGCCAGGGCTGCTGATTCAATACTGATACTAGCTTTTAACGATACGTCGAGTCAAGTTAGCTCCGGAAACGGAGCACTTCGTCCGATATCATGGATGATTGGGGAGTACGCTTCTTATTTGGAGTCCCCAGAAAATACAATGGCAGCCTTACTGCATATTGCCAAGGTGTCAGCGTCTGCTGAGAGTCTCATTGTGTACCTCCAAGCATTACCAAAGGTTTTTGCGATCATAGCCGATGACGAGCATTCATTATGGACGGTTGAACGGAAGACAATGATGTCACTGTTAATGGCACGCATCATAAATGCCATTGAACCTCTAGCAATGCACCCCGATTTAGAGGTCCAGGAGAGGGCAGTTGAATTTTCAGAGCTGTTAAAGTTGGCAGCGGAAGCGACAAATGGTCAAGAGCCGTCCTCGGAATCGGTTCAGCAAGATGCACCACTTTTACTTACACAAGCACTCCCTTCTCTATTCAGGGGGCAGGAATTAAACTCTGTTGCAGCTAGTGCGCAGAAAAATGTTCCATTGCCATCTAATTTGGATCTTGATCAGCCAATCAATCCAAATTTGCACAACCTACTGTGCAATGTAGACACGATATCCTTCGATGAGCCCGAAAACGACGAATTCGAAGTCTATTATCATCAGAAACCGGAGCCTACTTCAATTTCATCAAATGAACCTGCTATCAATCGTCTTGGCGGAAGTCCCGACCAGCCTGCCCAGTCTTATCAACAAGGCAGCGAAGAGTCATACCTAGATCCAGATATCGTTGCGCGACGGAAAGCGGAAAGACTTGAAAGAAATAGAGATGACCCTTTTTATATTGCACCGACTGATGGTAGTATCTCTGGTACTTCAACGCCTCTTCATAACATTATTCAAACCAACAATGGGCCAGATTTAGATATCGATGCCATACCAATCATGCAGCTAGACCTGGGCAAGACAAGTCTAAATACAACAAAAACTAAAAAGCCCTCGAAAAAGCCTCGTCAACGAATACAAGTGGCTGCCGATGAAACTCTGAACCTGAGTGGAACTTCTACGCCCGCAAACGATTCCGAGAACAGTACTGATGGACCCATCAAGGCGCGAATGACAAAAGGGAAACAATCCCTTTTACAAGTAGACTCGAGTCATATCGGTCAATTTTCCCTTGAGGGTGACAATACTAGCGGAATTGACTTTGAGCGGCAGCAGAAAGAGGATGCTGAGATGGTAAAGGCTATGAAAGAGGTAGAAAGACTTCGATTGGAGATGCAGCGAGCAAATGAGAGAATCCATGCTGCACAAGATGTTCCGCCAGAAGGAACGGTGGTGAAGAAGAAGACGAAGAAGAAGACTAAACCAGTCGAAGGCGAAGTAGCGACAGTGGTTAAGAAAAAGAAAAAGGCCAAGAAAATTGTAGTTGACGAAGGAGAAGGCGAAGGCGAAATTTCCATGGCTCCAACGACTACAGATGTCGTAAAGCCGAAGAAGAAAAAGAAGAAGCCAAAGGTGGAAGAAGGGGTCGTGGAACAGGCGTAATATGCATAGCGTTTAGGAAGCATTCAATGGCGTATGGAGCTTGCAACAGATACCACAAAGGTAGTCATGGGCTAAAAACTTTTGAGTTTTGATCACAATGTAGTTCTGTAGGTTATCCGTGTGAATGCATTTGTACAAACTATCCGATTTTTTCTCTCTCAATTGACTTTGAAGTATGCAGAATTCCTTGCTTTGATTATAGTCTTTGTACTTGACATTCCTACGTTGATTCAGATTGGCGCATCCAATCTGTAGGAAAGGGGGGTTAGTACACGTGACCACAATCCTTATCCTTATCGGAGCCCAGAGCTCGGACCAACAACGAGCAAAAAAAAAGATTCCCAATCGCATATCAAAATTCAAAATTCAAAACTCTCGTTCTGCCAGATTTTTTCCGAGTGTAATTCTTTTACACATAGACAATATGGCAACCTCGGCAAACTTCATTCCTCTCGGGGGAGTGGATAAGACTCATGAGTTCGATCAACCTATGAAAAAGCGCGATGCGGGTTATAGAGCTAAGTCTCTTTCCGCTGGAAAGCCGAAGGTTATTGGAGCTACTAAGGGTAGGTTCATTTGTTCTTTGCATATCCATTAGGGTATGGCCCGGTCAAAGAATCGAGATACTTTTGCCTCGTTTGAAGTGGGATAGAAAATTCTAATGAACTGGGAATATAGAGGAGCGATCGCGAATTGCGCGCGAAGTACGAAATGCGGCGAAGAAAGAGAAGAAGAAGGCCAAGTCCGATGCAAAGAAGGCTAGAAAATTGAATGGTATCATGACTAGACGAGCTGTAAGTCTTCGACTTTCTAATTTTGGCTGGCAGGGCGGAAGAAACTGATTCAATTTGGGTTTCTAGACTCGTAACCCAGAAAAATACAACAAGAACAAGGAGAGAAATCGTCTTCACGCAATCGACGTCGAACGTTACAAGATTCGCTTGAACGCCGTCAACCAAGCCCAGAAATTGGCCGCGGTCCATGATCCTAGTGGAGTTTCCTTTAATGTGGGAGAGGTAGTTACATTGGAAGATGGAACCGTGAAGAGTAAGAAGAGCTTGGAGAGGAAACAAGAACTTGCCGAAGGGAAGCAGTCGGTCCAAAATGAAGAAACTGCTGTGCCAGAAGGTATCAATCCGGAACGACTTCATCTTCTTGATGGAGAGAAGAAATCACATATTTCGAAGACGGCACTCAAGAAGAAGAAAATGTACGAACCAAAACCTATTCCACCTAAACCGATTATTCCCGAGGGAGTCGCTCTACCAGAAGGAGAGGAGAATTGGTTAGCATTATGGGATATTTCGGATGGACAAATCGAGCAGAGGATCGCGATGGCTAAGAGAGAAGCTGGAAATGCAAAGAGGGATCTTAGAAGAAGGCAAAGGGAAGAAGCTAAATTTAGGAGGTTAATGAAGGCGAAGAGAAGAAACGCACAGAAAATGGGTATTGTTTTCGATCCCATTGCAGCAAAGAACGAGATTTTGGGCGACAACGATGATGACGAGGATGATGAAGAAGCTTCTGATTCTGAAAATGAATCGAATAGTGATTCTGACTCCGAGAGCGATAACGAAGAAGATTCTGAGGAGACCAAGGCCAAGAAACGAGAAGAGAAGAAACAGAAACCCAGATTTAACCTAGACGAGAGCCAATTAAACGCAATCGTCAAAAAAGAAATACAGCGCGTCAGGAAGGATACACGAAAACAAGAGAAAATAATGGGTGTATATGAGAAAGAGCCAAAAGTAATGACCGAAGAACAAAAGGTCGCATTGAAAGAAGCCCGTATAAAGCGCAAAGCCGAAAAGAAAGCCGAAAAAAGGGCAAAGAAGGAGGAAGAGGCGAAGCTGGGAGTAGTAAGTTTGAAGGGAAAGCAAAATAGAAAAGCAAGGAAGGAATTAAGGAGAGCTGAGAGGGCCAAGAAAGCTGAAGAGAATGGAGATGCGCCTGTGACAGAGAACGTCAAGGAGGACGAGGATGAAGGAGGTGTCGATTTGTTGGGTAGTCTGGAGATGGCACTAAATCAACCTGAGGAAACGAAGGAACAGAAGAAGGCCCGTAAGAAGGCTGAAAAGGCCGAAAAGGCCGAAAAGGAAACATCCGAAGCAGTGGAGGAAAGTAAAGAAGAGAGGAAAGCTCGCAAGAAGGCCGAAAAGGCCGCAAAAGTTGCTACCGATGAACCAACACCGGCCGCGGTCACAGAACCAATAGAGGAAATTAAAGAAGAGAAGAAAGCCCGCAAGAAGGCTGAAAAGGCGGCTAAATCCACCCCTGTCGTTGTCAAAGAGGAAACTCCTCAACCAGAACCAGTAGCAGAGGAAAGCAAAAAACGCAAGCGCTCCAAGGAGGAAAAGGAATCTTTGAAGAAGAAGTCCAAACCCACTGAAGAGCCTGAGGAACCAAAAGCTGAGAAAGAAATAGCGGCTCAGTGGAATGCAGATGCGCTAGATGGGGATGCGCAAAGGAAAAGCAAGTTTTTGAGATTGCTTGGGGCTGGAAAGGGCGGCGCTGTCAGTGGAAAGGGGGTGGAGGCTAAGGGCAAGGGAGATATTCAGAAAGTGCAGAGTGAGTTGGAGAGACAGTATGATTATGGGATGAAGATGAAACATGATGGAGGTGGGAAGAGGAGAGGTTTGGGCGCATAGGGCTACATTCAAGCGGGTAATTGAATGTTATAGGAGCGGGTAATCTGTTTCGCTGGGCTGATGAAGTAGAATCTTAATATCCATTGGATTAACTGTTTATGTTACCTATCATTTCAGGGTTATGGGAGTCCTAAAAGTTGCCTTCATCTCTCACCATCTTGTATCTCCTCGACTTCTAGATTGAGCGAGTTGATGAGTAGATAGATAGAACCAAATGAAAGATAAATATATTTTAATGCAGGATATAGCTAGATTTTGTAAAGCAACATCCGTTCATGAAAATCAAGCAGGTATACATATTCGTAGCTGTGCCGGAATTATTGGCTTTCGATCCGCCAGTGAAGATGTGCACGGAAATGGAAGACGTCAAGATATTTAAGGCATATCGCAATTTCGTTCCAGATATCTTTTCGAACTTGAAATATGTTCAATTGACATGTATATGGAGCGCTAAATCAATCATTCATTGATATTGATCCCATATGAAAACCCCCCTTGACCATCGAAATCCGGTTACTTTTGACGGATACAAAAAATGGAATAACAAAACGAGACCCAAATAAAACTCCCATCCACAAATCTCGCAATTTCATTTCCCAATTGCAGACTAAGTCCAACCCCTAGAATATCGATAGCTCGTAAGCCTCCGCCTACTGCGACATGATCTGGGTTGCATACAATGCAAATCCCCAGTTCCTCCGTTTTTAGTTGGCATATATGATCGCGAGAATCGAATGAATGAATTGAATAAGATAGAATGCGATGCGCTTATTTACCGCCGCTGAAATAGGAAACTACGCGGAAAAGGAGGTCGACAAATAATCCGCCAATAAGGATAAATGCGAATAGGTCTATTGATTGAGTTGTTAGCTTGAGTCTTGCGCATATTGATATCTCTCAAAATTCCTCCATGATGCACATTCCGCTGGGATGTGACTTGTTCCTGTCTGTCCATTGGACTTCTGCTTCCACCCAAAATTCTTTGACAGACATTCGATGAGCGATTGAGAAACGCCCATTTCCCACACCAATAAAACTTCTGCTTAAATTGCCCCTCTTCTCAGTCCTCTGACCGGCCTACCTTTCCTCCGCAGCCCTCAATTTCTTTTCCATCTTCCCTTCTATGAAGTAAAGACACAAGGAGAAGTCAAAACCTACATAACCAACCCTTACTAATAGGGCTCTTCTGTTTCTTCAACTCCTTCTTGTGCAATTGAGCTTCTGATTTTCCTTGTTTGTTCTCATTGACGGCAGCGAACTTGAGGTTTGCTTTGCGTTGGGCGGGTGTTTGAACCTAGGGAAGAGGGTTAGTTTGAGGGTTTTTGGATTTAAGAAGCTAGAATAGCGATCGGAGTTTTTAAAGGGAGATGTTCAATGCGAATTAGAAGAAGAGGTAGAGAAGAATCAAAAGCCAAGCGATTCTGGAAAACACAGTGCCCCCAAATTTTAATACGAGGGGAAACGTAAAAGTACATACCATTTTGACGTTTGCGATTGCGAAATATGAAATATGTCTGTCTCGCAACTGATGTATTGGAGTGGACTCGAGTTTTGTTTAATATGCTTTTAAATTGTGAGGGTTGAAAATGGTAAAAGATCTAAGATGTGAATTATCTGTCAACAAGTGTTTCGGTAGGATTTATAATAAAGGGTGATATATCAATCTTATTCAATATAAAATTACTTTGGGGAGAAGAAAGCTTGGGCTGAGAGCTTCGTAAATGTGTCCCGATCGGCTCTTTGGACTTGGAGATGCGGCCGATTATTTGTGGGGAAGCCTGTTCGCAGATTGATGGGCAGAATTTCACTAATGCTAAAATGGAAGCGGTCTGTCTTTAGTCATCCAGGTCTTACTACAACATCTTTTGGTGCCAATCCAGATCATATTCTACGATTTCGAGAATTTTGTGTCATCGGGGAGATTCGACTCACCATCATGGGAAAGCACCATGCATGTTATCACGTTGGGGACCTCTATTATAAGTATTAATCAAAGACTGTACTGAATAGAAGGATAGGTAAACAAAGACTTCAAGGATATTAACTCTACATAAAGATGTGCTTGTCTCGAAGTTGGGCGCGGATTGTTGCGAGACTTGCTTGAAGAGAAGGTCAAAGATGTCAATGACAACTTTGGACGGAAGTAGCTTGCCATTCAGCCTAGAGGAGGCAAGAAGCTCCCCGAGAAGAAAACAAAACCAGCTGCTATCAAGGTTATCAACCTTCAATGTAGCGATCTCTGATTTCTTCTCGGTGAGCTTCCTGTCGACCAATCATGGATGATGTCGTACTTGTCAAGACCCTCGTCCTGAAATCCCCTGAGGCACAAGGTCCTCAACTAGGATGACATCACCCACAGACTGGTTCTATATACTATCTAGTGAGCAACCTCATCACACAAGGTGAATCCAGGACCAAGAAAATAAACTCCTCCTCATTTACACCTCCCTCACCCCTCACCCCTGCCCCCCCTCGTCGTGCCTGTTAGCCCGATCTTCAGGAAAGTCAAATGCTTCTCCTCTACACCCGCCAACCCGCAGCTTGCTTACCAGCCCTCGTGCTGGAGCAGTCTCAAAACCCTTTGGTTTGTGCGGAGGTAGACCGCCGCAGGCTGCAGATGCCTAGTTAGTAATGTATTAGAAATATTGCAGAGTGTGGAATCTATCACCTATCTGCCAGCTCCTTTTGACCCTCTGGTCCAGGAATACGAAAGAGCTTTAGAAAAGTCTGAAGTTACGACCTAGACTGTTGGCGGGGTCCTTGAGAGGGTTGCTTTCCATATCAAAGTTATCTCCAGCGGGATCAGGTTGCTGAATTTTAGTGCCTTTTGGACCCGATGCTTGTTGCTGTTGAGAATGTGGCGAATAATGAGAGACATAGGTATATCCAAGATCGAGTTGATCGTGATCAAAAACAAGTTGATAAGCCGGGTGAATACCGTATTGTGGGTTCGCTTTCCTTGGCTGATCGTAGCCATTGCCACGCCCCCCCCCCCCTTCCACTTGCGCAGCATTTGTCAGAATTATGTCTGTAATCGGTTTGCACGACTCGAAACGCCATTCGATAATCCAGAGGGAGCTATACACACCAGCTCTCCCTGGATTCTCGAATGGTGCTTTTGAAACTAGTCTCATGGAGGATGTCCTTCGAAAGACCAGAGTTTTCCTTGCTGCGAACAGGGCGGGACCAGCCACAACCCATGTTCCACGCATTTTGTAGACTATTAAGAGAGCCATTCTCTCATCGCATTTGTAATCGAAGCAAGTAGATTGCTTTATCCCTACAGAGTCATTTATCAGAAAAGTTCTTCATTATTGCGTGGCGTGTACAGAAATCTCGTGTTTTTACTTCTTCGCAGTGCTCGCCGTACACGGGGTTGTGATAGTATGTTTTCTTACCTTACTTCGTCATTACAATCATCGATGCCTTAATAGGGCCATCAGTTTGTACCACCAGTCGGTACAAACTGACGACCCCATTGTTCAAAAGAAAATTTTAGACTCAAAGTCTATCTATTGAGAATCAGTAATTTGTGCGAATTGAACCATCTTGCTTTGAGATGAAAATTCCGCGAAATGGAGTACAATACCGCCACTGGAGCACAAGAGAGGAAGCAGCTCACATGTGAGTGAACGGTTTGAAATTCGAGACAATATAGTTCTTTGTCAAGACAACCCAGAAGTCTGATCTCTTCTCTACACCATCTAGGTATATTGAAGTTATCAATTTTCTCGGCCACCTTTACCAAGAACCATGTTGTCTGAAACACAAATTTGCTGAAGAGATGTACTCTCACAGCAGAGAATCGAATCCCAACTTTACCCGCCTCTGTCGTATGTATAAAAGCAACCAGGTTCATACTACAACCAACTAAGGAGCAGCAGAGGAACATCAAGTGAGTGCTGTCGATGGCCTACGCCCAATCAAGCACCTACCAAAGACCCACCATGTACCCTCGATATTAAGTATAGGTGAGGTTCTGGTAACCAGCGATTTATTGCATAGAGTATTTGATAAACTAAAAGTGTAAAGTCAGTACGCGCTCGTTGAGTTTGGAAGAAAAATGAGGTTCGCAAGGCAGTTTAAAAGACTGGCAGATGGTGCGAAGAACCATTCGTATCTTGATTGTCTCATAGATGATAATATATCAAGCTGATACATGAATATTCAGGAATATCTGGTGATTGATTGATTTTACTCAATGGATTGTGACTCACTCTTGGGTGTTTGTGCAGCGACCCTAAGGGCTTGTATCTTTCTTCTCATCGATTCTGTAAGCTGTTAGCTACCTGGAACACTTTCAAAAACTAGTAATGACTGCCGTCACTAATTTCAAACAAGGCTTCAAGACAATTTTTTCACAGTCCAAGCCAAGTGACAAAGGCAGAGTTTGAAGGTATGAAAAGATGAATGGCAAGAAGGGAAGATTTTCACATACTTTGTTTACTTAGAGGACTGAATAAGAGTTCCAGCGCATACTCTCTATTGTTTTGAGATATCGCATGAAGATTTGGAAGAAGTTCCTTTCTAAATGTGGAGGATTAAAAGTTGATCATGAGCAGCACAGAAGATTGAAGACTCACAGATTATCGTTCATCTCGTTATGGCCTTAATTTTAATCCCTGTCTCTCAATCACGCTAGAGAATCCAGAAGTAATTTGGAATTTTGAGGTTGCCTCGGGAAATAGAGTCAGGGTTGTGGCCGCTCTTCAAGAGGTGGTGGATCCCATGGCATTCTGCCAAACTTCCAGAATAATATTTGTGACTAGTATCCAGAGGTCATTCTTGCAACTCTATTAACTGGCTGAGCCAGTATGTCTTATTCTATTCCCACCAAGAGCACATGTTTTGGATGGAAATGGCCTGAAGCAAAACACAGAACCTCCCCTAAACATAAACGAAATCACATGACCAGTGTACACAAATCTACAATCAATCAGAAAGAGAACTTGAATCAACAGAGACTTTCATTGACTAATATCTCTTCTTCGTGTATTAACATGGAAGACTCCCGTGGTTATTTTTTTGTCATGGTGGTTGAAGAGGGTTCGGGCGGTGAAGAAACCATCAAAAGCAACGAGCGAGCAAGCAAGCAGTTCAAGAAAATAAATAACATGAGCAAGTCTTTCAAATTCGGAGACAATCATGTCATCGCCATTGTGAATTGCAGACATGGTCCCCAAATTCGCTCCAACCTTGGACTTGAGAAGTTAAGATCTAAGACAGCAGTCCGAGCACTGAGGTAGATATTTACCAGCTCATATTATCACAGATTCCTACCACTAAAACTTGTCAATATTGATCTTGTATAGCTAGATATATGATCATGAAGTTGTAACCAATCAACTAATTTTAGTTACTATTCACACTTGCATCCCTAGCACTGCAAATGGATGATGCAACGGTCTCAGTATGTCTTTAAAGTTAGAGTTAATTACGTGTCTGAAGTTAGAGGTTGCCTCGGTGATCAGCTACTTAAGTGCCATATTGACTTCCTCATCTGACAGGCGGCAACTAGTGGATGATGGACTAGAGATGAATCCCTGTCCCCTGTGCAGACGTGCAACAAAATGGCATATTCAGTCTTGATCAGGAAAAGACAAAACCTTATTGACCCTTGTCTTGGTTTGCGACTTGCAACAAAGCAGAATTGTTAGTTAAATAATGCTGAAGGCAAGGAATATTGTATTATACTTTGAGCTAGTGGAACCTTATCTCAGACCTCTACCTGGGCTTGTGGCATACAACATAGCTGATGTCTTGTGATTCAATTGGGGGATAGGAGGAAAAACAGGTCCAGTGATTTTCCCAGGTAGAGGAAGGGGATTAAAGTTATTAAGTTTGGAGCTAGTAGAATCTTTCAGATCCCTACCCAGGATCCGATATGCAACAAAAGAGTTTTTTGTTCAACTACTGGATTCGGAGAGACTTCTCCACCATTTACCCCTGTAATGGAACCTCATAGGTATCTTGACTTCATCTTTTAATCCTAGGAACATCATTATAGGGACCCCTGCTTAGGCTTGAGATGTGCAGCAATACTACTTTGATCTCTTTGATTGGAAGAAGCTTGACTCCCAAGACCCCTGTCTAGAAGTCTTAGCAACAACTTCCTTTCCTGAAAATCTTAGTCTGTGACGAGAAAGACAACATGGTCGGTGCATCATCGGAATACATAACGAATGTAGTTTGCCATGGTACCTGATCTCATATTTAGCTGCAATTGTAATTCCTTTCATAATCCTAGGACACTTAAAAGTTCAAGATTCCATGTTGACAACTGAAGTGTAGACCAAGTGTTTTCTCATCCCATTTCTTAATCTCCAAAGATACATACAGTCGTGCTGATTGTATAATGATAAAAATCCCCTTCGACTATTATTATGGCAGCAGGACTCTCATTCACAATTAGCACTCAGATCCCATAACAACTGCATCAATTTAATGTTCCTACAGACACAAGTTATTTCTGTAACTTTTAACCCTCTTACAAACTCAATTCAAAGATGAAAAATGTTCCCTCTCTGTTATCAAACAAATATAGGTAGGCCATAAAATTTTCGGAAAATTTAGCCGAGGAGAAGTTGCCCGACCCTGGCCTAGATATGCAACAAATAACTTCCTTCGAACAAGGACTGGGGTCAATTGGGTAGCATACTAATGTACTACAACTCAGAGAATAACATTGGGTAATGATAGCCGAAGTCAACACCCCCTGCCCTAGCTACAGATATGCAACAATACTTCATAGATTTCCACTACTTGGTCTCCATGACGTACTGCAGAGGATGTCTGTAAGTGAGGTATGATATGATACATGACTGTGAGGCCATATTTCTCAGGATCATTGAGGTATATGATCACTTCTTATGATGGGAAATCGTTTGTTTGTTGATAATATACCTTGATGAAACACCAACTGAGTACTGCAAATCATAGAAGGAAGCTCATCCTTCAAATATCACTACAACGAAAAAATGAGTTGTACTTAAGAGGTTTTGTGCGAGATTTTTGCCTGCATACCTAATTAGAAAAAGATATTTCTACATGGCTACGGCTAGGTAGTGCACATTTGTGCGTTGATTTATGCGGTAGCTTCGATGACAATAAGAGAACTTGATACTTCATATTATTGAACAAAATGAGTATTGAAGTGAGAAACACGTAATACAATGTATACCATTTTGTTTCTACTTCCCTCAATTGAATCATGACCAGGTTGTATATGCGACAAATATCCCCACTCTCCTTAGTCAGTACAGTGTTTGTTATACCATACTGAAGGACTTCTAATTCAACCTAAAACAGCACGATGAAGCTTCATTGCTTACGATATAGAATCACAGACTCAGATGGAATGTCATACAACTCTTTGGGTAAAGATCTAAATGGCATACCTCATCCGAACAGATCCACAATCCACTATATAAATTCCACAAATCCGATCATACCCCAGACCAGAGAACATCTCTTAGCTCTCTTAGCTCCCTCATATCGGTAATCGGGAAACGACCAATTGCAAATCTTCCACCACTCAGAGCCGTCAAGAATCTAATGTTGCATATCTGCCGTCTCAAAATTACAAGGGGAAGCCCTGACAAGCTACAATAGAGGAAAGTCTGTTGCTAGCTCTTCTGCGACTCCGGGATATCTCACTACATTCAAATCAGTGTAGAAATTTCCTCAAAAGAGGTTAGTCAGATCATAAATTGATTTGAAATGGTTCATTATGACATGTGCTGTTGAAACATATTCGTTCACAAACTTGGACCCCCATTATTACCTTAATTTTCGAACTCTATGGTCAACTGAGCACCAATATTCCCGTTGAACAGATAATACTGTCCCAAGTACTGATCGTGCTTTGGATCAGGATTCAAAGGTAATGGTATTGAATTTTGTGTTGTCTAGACTGTTTTTATCCTATGTTTGCTCTGTCATGTATGCCATCCTCTTGTTGTTAGCCTCACTCTATTCCATATCACACAGGGTTATGTTGACGTAAAGCAAGCCAAATCATACACTCTTCTTTAAGATAACCCATTCGCGAATCTGATATTACCTCTCAGTCATACAGCTTTAACAAAGCTGTGCTGAAATCCGTGGAAACCTCAAATTTCTACAATCGCCCTCATGATTCAGACAACAAATCGCTCGGAAAATCTGCAGAAATTTATACAAAGTTTACGCTGGTAGCGATGCTCAAGTAGAGCGCATCCATTCCCAAGGGTGCCATTGAATCGAAAATTCATCTTTTACAGCCTCGAATAGTTCGAAGATGGGATAATCGTCCTCCAAAGGCGGAATATCAAGACCCTAACAGCAGGATATTAGCAGCGACAACCATATATTGCTTACTGCGAGCACAAGTCAAAGAAGCCCTGATTTTCTTAGGCCCAAGAGCTTGAAGAAGTTTTTGACCCATCTTTGTGATGTTAATATACCCCTTGAAAATGGTTGATCAGAAAAAGAAATGACTTACCGCATAATCTAATTCAATCAATTCTTTCTCAAAATCTGCTGCGAATTCTGCATCATTCAACTTCTCCTCTAAGTTATCCTCTTTGACTTTCTCATTCTTCGAATTTCTACGAATAAGCAGAATTTTAGAACCTTCCATAACCAAATGCTCCTGTACTAAGGCTGTCCATAACAAACCCCTAAATTTCCCTTGCAACCATTTCTAATAAAGACCCGGTTTATCAATATCTGTACCTGATGCTTTTGGGTTCTCGACTCAGCATATGAATGATCCTTTTACGCGAGCGCCGAGACTCAAAAGGGATTTAGAACCTGTACCCCGTGAAGCGCTTGCAATGTGATATGCGAGATGAGACTCCTCACTATCTACAATTGCGTAGATACCATCTGCAGTAGCTATTTGGTCTCGATTCAGGAATTGTGCAAGTTGCTCCTCGCGGCCAACTTAGAGAGGTGCATAGAGGTGAAGGAAGAAGAAAACACATAAGACATACGTAGACATATATTCTTCCAACTCGTCCATTACAAGAGCCGCCTTCTCCACAACGCAAATGACTTTATCACCCTTATTTTTTGGCCACCGTTTCTCCACTAAAGCCAGCAAAGACCCTTCGTAAGAACCGAGTGTTGAATCCTCGCCGATCCCCCAATCGGGACGAGGAAGTGGTCGCAACACAAAATGTGCTAGGTCCTTCTTTCCTTCAACTCTCCAAAAATGTATTACTCCCCTTTCGACAATAAAAGTCATTTCCAATCATTGTTTCACTGATCTTTTCCTCTGCTGACTGTAGAAGCTAGGTGATAGGGGTCGTTGTATGACAAAACCCGTCATAGTAGTTCTCTATTTCTTGGTCGTCGGTTCCATCTTGCTTTAGGCAGACTTAAACGCTATTCTCATTCCGAGTTAGTTTGGTTGTTAAGAATAATTTATATCGATCGAACTGCTCCCAAATTACAAAAATTGACAGCAGAAGAGCTAATGTTGCAGTTTCTCCGTCGTTCTCCTCTAACTCAATGCTGCCGTCTAGAAGTTTGGGAGCTCAATGGGAGTGAACGAACTTACCAACGAGATTTCTCATTTCTATTTGAACAATTATCCATCCCGTTTGAACTACCCTGATGAATCTAATCGGAATTTGAATGCGTTATAGCGTCATTATTGTCGGTCGATGAAGGATTGAACACATTGCTGCACGCTGCAACGCCGTCTTGCATGCTACGTTCGAAATCCCCAGGTTGAACCTTTCTCTTATTTCGAGGGTGACTTCCCGTCTCTGAAGTGTCCGCCGAGGTCTCTGCTAGGAACTCTCTTTTCGCTCTTGAATAATCGACGTCGTGTCCGAGGATATCTGTCTGTGATGAATTACCGCTTCCCGCTTCCCGCTCCTGGTGAACGTCCATCTTTTTTCTCGCTCAAAAGCCTGTATTCCTTCTTGAGTCTCTCGTAATTCTGACAGTCCTCGTTCTTCTCAGTCTTGGTAAATGAGATGCTTTTGTACCACTCTTCTTTTCTATGTCAAAATTTGCTCTTTGGGTAATGTTATTGGGATTTTTTGGTTTGCTTGAATTATGAGAACGAACTTTTCTCGTTGTGTTGTGCCTCTTCTCTTGTTTCCTTCCTAGACGCGTTGACTGTGATTCGCTCCCGGATTGAGATATTCGATCATCAGTGACATATTGATTGTGACTGCCATTCTGGTCTCGTCGAAAGACTTTACACTTGCATTTAAGCCAGAATAAACAAAGACACGTTTTCCAATAGATAATAACTTGTAGGCGTAATTAATAGGATTGGAGACATAAATTTCTTAGGGATTTGTGAAGGTAGTCGAGACCTGGCTGTGGTTTCTAATTGCCGCGTTTGATAAAGGGGGAACTCCTGTAATTAAAATGACGTGTGAACTCGCGACTTCTTGTGTTGAAAGCATGCAACCTTTTTATTCTTTTAAAGCGACTTCCATTACTGGATGCACGTTGAGACGCTCAAAATGGTGATTCGACGACTTTGATAGGCATGCATTAAAAGTAGTTTGATATTGTGGTAATGCAATGCGGACTTCGGAATTCGTATCTTGCGAAGCCTCAAGTTCTCACTTCTTGATCGTTCTCTTCCACAGGGACTTCTGTCCTCCATCATTTCCATGCAAATTCAACCTTGACCTCCTCAAATGACCCTAAACATATTACTCTTCACGCCCCTCCCAAATCCATCGGTCACCGGCTTCCCCCCTTCATATGAAACTCCAGCTGCACCCTCTCTTCCTTCCATCTTCGCCATTAACTCTTCATCCATTTCCGCAATTTTCTTCGTCCTCTTCTCGAATTTTTCCCCATGTTTTCCATCTATCTTTTTTCCCGCCACTTCAGTTGACCTCTCAATAACCTGCCCCTCTGCACCCTCCACTGATATTTTCTCCTTCGCAGCCATTTTTGAAATGGAGTTCGAAATCGCATCATCATGATATTCTCTAGATACAGAAGTCCAAGCCAAAGTGCCACGAATTGGCAATCTCACGTGCATTGAATTTTTGGGTAAGAAAATCGCTGATCGTGAGATTACTATCGAGCCATTGATAATCTTTCTAGCCAACATCATGAGGGATGTCGAGGATGGAACAAGAAGATAAATTGGAGTTTATCCTTGTTATTGAAACAAAAAAGAAATCGGGGCATGAGAAACGTTGGAAGAAGTTTCTTGCTCTCCTCCATGTCCCCTGCAGACGCCAGGGAATTACATCATTAGCACACGTGATTAAACGTGATCATCAGATCCATTCTCCAATTCCTCAATTTTCCCCCACAGCTTGGCGGCAATGTGTAAATTACAAAACATGAATTATTTCCGAGAAAATCACTACTCTATGAATATCTTGGCGTTGACTACAATGTCGTGAAATGTCAAAAACGCCAAATTTGGGACTTGCCAAGCTATTCTCAAGCACATGAATGGCTGAACGAACGAAGGATGAGACGAATCCACGGGAAAAGATTACCATCACAATGCATCCGAGGGATGGTCAACATCTCTTGAAATATTGAATTGACTAACCAAGAGTACCTGGGTCCATTCTGAATTCAATACTCAATACGAACCCCTTCAAGAATCAAGCTGAACATTCATATTGACGGCGCCCACATCCACATACTGGAGTTGAGTCACCACCTTCATTCAAAGCCTTCTGTCATCATATGGATCTATTATCCAAAGTTGGAGCAGGATCTGAAAAGAGCAGACATAATTGTCCTTGATTTCAGCACGCAATAAATGCTCGACTCCTATCCAAATTTAAAGTAGACAAGAACCAGGGTAGAAATGGGACACGGATGGAAACTGACATTGACCTCTAGGTATCACATGAGAATGATCAAAGAAGGGATTCGATCACAGAGGTTCTAGGAGGAAGACGTCATGTTGATGTGTAGTATACCAGGTTTGTGTCTACCAGTATGACCCTCTCCTCCTTGAGGGAGATCTCCTGAAACAGCAGCAAAGTCAAGCTGAAGTAAGTCATAGCCGCCTCTCAGGCGAAGCAACACCACAATGTAACCTCCTTTCTGCGAGCCAAGCTAGCCCCCACCCCCATGCTGAGGCCCAAACATATCTCAAAGAAGGCAGTCGCATATAACTATCAATAAATAACTCAGAACATTAGGACATATCACTAGTGTTGCCCGTCGGAGGGGTATGAAAGTAGGCTGCTTGACTATACCTCTGACAATCTTCAAGATTAGCTTTCCCAATCGATGAATTGTCTCGCAGTCACACACAGTGTGCGAAATCCATTTCATAACCAATTGCCATCTTCGCCGATACGTAACTTGGTAGCGAGAAGCAGAAAGCCTATCTAGGATCATTGGTAAATTCGGCTGTATGCCTTAATCATATGATCTTCACCGGGAAAATAGACCTTCAGTTTACCCAGCGCACAACATTGAGTCGTTCTACGAATTACGATAGAGATCTAAAGCGAATATCAATCCATACGATATTCGGCAGGATGAAACCTGCATTGAGGGAGATTGGTTACCTTCTGCAACAAGAGGCGGGCGATATCTACTTCTAGTGGCGTGCATCTTATACGCAATAAGGTTGCGGGGGGATGTTCCACACACGAATGTGTTTTTTCCGTCTATCCGAAAAAGCTAATACCAACGTCAAAAGTTTGACTGGGAAATGACTAAGAAGATAGAATTATGAAAGCAGATCAAAATGTGTGTATATATCCCGTTTATCGCATTACCTACTGTTTGGCTTGGTTCGGAATTTTAGCACATATCTAAAACCAACATCCGCACCATCAAGTATTCAATTTCAGCAATTACGAGCATACATATGTTATGTAACGAATGTACTTTTTCATCGTGTGAACTTGAAAGGAGCGCAACATGCAGCCAACCCAATTGCGCTGCACCATATAATTTGCAAAGCACTTTTTTGTGGTAATGCAGTCAAGATGGTTGCCACGCTCTCCAGAATCCTCTTGCGCTCATGACTTGCGAAGTTCCCAGACATGAAGAATATGGGAGGTTGGTAGTCAAGGGCAAATAAACCAAGTTCAAATTTAAAGTTTTGATTGATATGCTGTTGTGCTCAAGACTCTCACCTAACTTCTCCTTCCGATTTGATGTAAGAGTTACACACCCCTCTCCTTCTTGTTAGTAGTCGCATATGCGGTATTTCAACGACAGTTGTAAGTACTTGCAGTGAGCGGGTGTTGAGGCCTCCTCTCATACAACCCGATTGATTATATTGCACTAAATCAAGACTCATGTATCACACATAATATTAAGATAAAGGACTGGTTTGGATCTAGAAATCCTGCTGGATTCATATAATAATTTGCTCCTCGGAAGAGAATCTTGGATCCTAGTTTGAAATTGAAATGGCAATTTCTTCAAACAGTATGGATTGCAAAATGGCTGATAGATTTCTAAGCATTAAGCAATATTAGGCAAGTCATTTTTTTTTAATGAAAATGCACAGAATATCAAGGAAACTAGTACTATTCTACTCACAATTTTAGAAGAAAATATTCATTTAAAGCACCCTAATATATTCAATTTATAATCTATATATAAAGTCTGTACTTTTAAAATCTATTTCTAACCCTAGATTCTAATTTTGAATCCTAAGTTCTAGCTCTCTGTTATAGATCCCAGCTTTTCTGTTACAATTGCTAGGTTTTCGATTGTAAATTTCGATTTCATTTCATAGATGCTATTCTCATTTCATAGATTTTAGCTTTCAATATTGAATGTTCTAATTTCAAATATTGTATATACTTGTCTGAAACTATTGAATCTAGCTATTATAGAATCTAAGTAGTATACAAGTAAATTTATATCAATTTTAGTGACGTGAGAGTAATCAGATTCACTTTTAGCAGTACAAGAGTAATTTGCCATTATTTTTATCATTTTATTTACATTTCTCCAGTAGAGATTCCAATTTTTAGACTTAAAACTTCAGTTAGTGATTCAAGCCTTAATCTACGGTTTGAATTCGGGTGATCAGTTGATGCTGTACATGATGATTTCTACCCAACATTAATCTAGGCTATTCATCAAATAAAAGTTTTATGCAATCCCTCATCAGCTATCACCATGGTTAATTGTGGCTAGCTATAACCCCTCTCCTTGGCTGCCACTGCATTCAGAATTGGTGAGTATCAGAGACACACAAAAACCGCTCGTAGTGTGACCATTTCAACTCCTATCAGGATGAGGCAAAACTTTGTTCCAGTCTATATCTATATAAGAGACCAGACACACCTTCTCCTCAACGCAATCAGATCAAATTCTCAATAACATTTAAAATCACACGAAAGTCCCAAAGAAAGCCTTGAAGGCGTTATTTCACTACAATCATCATCAACACTCGCTCTTAGAACAAAATGCCCAACCAGACCCGCGACTACCGAGATCTTAGGGTCACCCTGACTAAAGATTTCACATTCGGATGGGATAATCGAAATTTCGGCTCTATCCAAGGATGCACATTTTGGCACCCCAATCCACAAGGTGACCTTTACGCAATGGGTTCGATTTGTCTTAGCGGTCGCAACAATCAAGGCGAAACAAATTTTCGGGCTGCGCTCCTAGTTGGCGCCAATCCAAACACGAGTGGAGGTCGGACCGCTGTTAAAAGGCCTGTTGACTGGACTAGAATTTGGGGGTATGGTAATGGGAGTGGAAGTGTCGCGGCGATTCTGTGGTGGCCGTAAGTCATATTCCAAAACTTGATGCACTCTCTTTGCCCCCCATGAATTTTCCTGCACTCAGAGAAAGATGTGTGATTTGAGTTATATCTCTTTGATCCATGTAATGGTGCTGACTGTTATCTCTAAAGCGTTACCCCATCTGGCTATGTTTCAATGGGTGATGTAATGGTCCAGAGCCTCGACAAACCCAATCTCAACAGTCTGGTATGGTGCTTACGTGCCGACCTAGTCGGGTACGGCACTTACATGGATACTCGTCCATGGAATGGCAGTGGTGCTGATTTCGGGCAAGGCCTCTCCATCTGAAATATTCTTCCCAGTGACAACGGCGTTGATGGAAGTGAATATATTCCCGTCTTTGCCGATACATTCCGCGGCCACTTAACACCCAACTACACCCCTACCAAGCCCAATACCGGAAAAGCTGTCGTTCCTCAGCTGAAAATCCCAAACGCCTTTAAAGAATTCACTCAAGGCGTTCCCAAAGTAACCCCTACTACCATTCCCAACACCGGAAAACGCTACGATGTAGTTGAGAATGCTAGCGTGTGTCTTCCACTTACATGCTATTATCCGGTTAGCGATCCCCGTTGCATCGAAGGAATTTCAAACCCATTCATTGAAATCAGCAAGGGAACAAGCTGGGTCGCAGAAGGCGTTTGGAGCAATGACGGCAGTGGTCCTTTCAGTCGCGAAAAGAAAATCAAATACGGGTTGAGTAAGACAAAGACTGATGAGATGTCTCACAGCGTTGGCGTCGAAATCAGCGCTTCGCATGGATTCAAACTCGTCGAAGTTAATGTGACGCTTAACTATCAGTTTACGACCTCAAGTTCTAGCTCGTTGACCGAGTTTACAGAGTCGGAGGTGACAGAGAGATTTGAAGTTCCGCCAAAGAGTGTAACGGTTTTGTTCACCAAACATGTGTTTTTGAAAGGTAAGCGGATGGATGGAAGTACAGTGATTAATCAAGCGGAAGCTATTGCAAATGACGATTTGCATTTTGGAGGTTGTCCTCTGCCTTGAATGGTTCTTCAAAATTCGCCTGGAGTTGAAGAGACGGCCTCTCACTTCTAGCTTCTCTCTCTAGTACAATGATTTCTCTTAGTTTCCTATATCTCTAAAACTTATTTCCCTTCCCAAATTTTTCACCAAGGAAGATACAACACTCTCTGCTTTGGCAATCAAACATTAATTCAACATTAATTTGCCTTTGCTAGTTAGTTTTGTCTTTTAGTCTTCTCAATCAAACTTTTACCACTTATTCTTGCTGAAAATTATACCAATCTTTATCATTGACACTATGAGTCTAATCCTCTCAAACTCTGCAATTGACTTCCCAAGCATCCAAGCCATCGACAAATTTATTCTAATACATTAATATTCTTACCATACCCCCCTTCTCCTACCTTCACTATCTTCAAACAATCTGATTCTGAAACCCCTTGCCCATAATGCAAATCCTCTCTGCTCTTTAGTCCTACTGCCCATCCTTCAATTCCTATGTTATCAATCCCATCACCATCCCTTTTACGAGAGTAGAATGAATTCGAGCATTTGAATCAAGTCCAAACAATGGGTTATCATCTAGTATCCATGCACACACATGAACTCATGATAGCCTAGGAAGAGTAAATCAAATCAATGCACTTATATTTAGTCTTGGGTTCAAACGACTCTCGCTATGGTATCTAATAAACAATAAACTGAATCCAAACCGATAAGTCCCCATGAGCCCAACCAACTCCGACCGAATTGGATCCCTTAAAATTTATCACCAAAGACACCGAAACACCTATTCCGGGTTATACCATGTTCTTTTAGCTCCTCTCATGCCAACTCATCCTCCTCTCCCGCCTCATCGACCTCACTCCCCTCAATACTTTCCATCAAGTTCTCTTCGCCACTAACTCTACTCACATCACTAACCGCATATCCATATCCCTCTACAAACCCCTCTTCCCTTACACACTTCTCCAAACTCAATCCTTCTTTCTCTACCCACTTGCGGATTTGTTCTTTATCTATTTTAACTTTATATCTTTTCCCCGCTTTCTCAATTCTTCCCCCTAGTGTACTTGCACTCGTCTTTCCCGATTTATCTCTGTTTGAGCCACCGACTGTTTCAAGTACGCTCATTGATCTGAGGACGCCAAGAACATCGTCTACTGCTATCCATGTGCCTTTACTAATAGCTTCCACAGTAGTTACGCCGCAGGTATCTTCCATGGGCGGTGTTACGGGTAATTTTGGCGCCGATTTTGTTGCTTTTGGTGTTAATTTAGGTGCTGGTCCTGGATTTTCCTTCGACTGAGAGGATGGTTGAGAAAGAGATTGAGGTTGCATGCCCACACCCTTCATACCCTTTCTCCAACCCTTTCCCATTCCCTTCCCCGATGGTTTCTTCGCCGGTGGTTTCTTTTCCACTTTAATCACCTCAACATCAAGCTCCTCTTCCTCATCCACTACCTCATCCTCTCTCATTAAAGTATCCACACCAACCTCACATTCCAACAACCACCTCGCTACCTCTGCCCCCCAAAACCTCCCATACCCCTTCTTTCCCAACTCGCTAATTGGTTTCTCCGGTCCTCCAAGTAGTCCTTCTCTCCTACTAATTTCATAACTCGTGCCTATCAAAATACTTCCCAATCCCTTCTTTTGCCATGGAGGTAAAACAAGAATACAAGCTAGATTATTATTATCCCATGACATCTTTTCCTTTGAGAAGAACCCTACGATTTGTTGTTCTTTCGTACCGGGATTGGTGTGAACGAGAAGAAAATAATTAAAAGACTGCACATCGTAGAGGACCGATTTATTATCCAGGAAGAGTTTGGCGAAGAGAGACAGGGATTGCGAGAATGTCTTTGCGGCGATATTAGTAGAGATTTTTCGAATGATGTCGGTATAGAAGTGCAATCAAGACAACCAGGAGGAAGAGAAGAAAACTTACACCCTCAACCTCTCCATCCACCTCCCAAACACTCCATTCCCCGTTTTCATCATGTTCATAAACACAATTTCCAGGCACTCTTCCTTTACGCTCACAACATTCTCTATGTTTCGCCATCTCCCCTCCATGGACTGTATATCCAAAGCACCAATTGCAGACAAACAATCTATCAACCTGCAAACCCTTTGGTCCTCTCGAATCTCTGTCTCCCCCTTTCCCACTCTTACCACTCTTACCACTCTTGCCGCTCTTTCCACTCTTTCCACTCTTTCCACTCTTGCTGCTTTTTCCACTTCCTTGACTTACACTCTGAGAATGATTTTCTATCATTCCATTTCCGATGACATCGCGGGTGTAAAAACTCGAATACCAACTCTTGAAGCATAAATCTCCAAAAACAACTTCATCGATATTTCTTTCCCTTTGTTCATCTTTTTCTTCATCATTCTCTTTCTCGTCAACATTCTTCGGCGTATCCGCCTCTGTCCCAGTACTTCCACCACTTCTATTTTCAGAAGGCGAACTTATTTCTCCAACATCAAGCTCAGCCGGATTTCCATGATGCTCATTATCGCCTGCTTCAGCAGGGGGCGAAGGTAATGAGTTCTCCATGCTGACTGTAACATCTCTTTCCCTTGTTCTTTCCCTTGGTGTTTCCCTCTCTCCAGTTCCGGTAACAGTAATCGAACCATTAACCCGACTCGTTGTGCTGATTCTCCTGCGTTTGGGTGTATTTGTATCCTCTTGATCTTGGGTAGAGCTCATTGGACCAATTGTTATTCCATTTGTTTCATTCGCCATGTTTCCACCATTCATGGTATTCCCGTCCTCGCCCCCCTCTTCCTCTCCCTCTCCCTCTCCCTCGATCTCACGCGCGCGTTTCTTTCCTTGCGGATGTGGACTTCTCGTAATACCAAATTCCGCCAATCCTCTCTGTCTTTTCTCTCCAGAACCAGTGCTTGTTCTCCCACCATTACTTGTTCTTCCTCCACTGACTCTCCTACTACCCTCAACCTCAACACCATCCTTATCAACCATCATTGTAGTTGTTGTCGTAGTTCGTACCGTGATTGTATTTGGTGAACCATTTGTATTTGTATTTGTATTTGCGTTTGGGTCGGGATTTGAATTGGAATGTGTATCGCGTGAGCTTGCTCTATGCGAGCGCTTTCGGAGGGTTCGTGATGGCATCGTATCGTACTTTCTCCGATATTTGGTTGAAAAGGGGGGGGGAAATAGCTTAGAGGCCCTGGTGGTAAGGTCAAATTGTGAAATCCACCACACCCAAAATTGTTAATTGATTTCGGAATTTAGGGATTGATACGTTGTCCAATTATAACCTTGGTATTATATCGTAATTGTACGGAACAACTCCCGCTGTGATTGTGTGGAAATCTCGTCGCTGTTGCCGTCCTTGCAATGGATTGAATCGCAATTCTTCTTGTGGTAAGGTCAATTTGCTAGAAACTCCTGCTTGTTCTCTCCAGCGGATTTATTGTCGCAAACCTGAGATAATTAAACGTATCTGCAGTTCTAATCACCACCGTCAATTAGTACGCGCTGCGTCAATATTTGTTCGTTTTGTTTGTGACGAGGTAGATTTGTATTCGTGGATTGCGAAGCTTGTAATGTAATGTTCAAGCTCTCGATTACAGCTGCCACTTTTGTAGTTATTATGGGAAAATTAAACTTTCGACCTTTTATCTGCTACCGTATCTTTTTCTAGCGGTACAATTGAAATTCCCTCTTCCTCTTCCTCCGCTCAAAATTCCCTTTACCGTAAGTGAATCATTCACTCTATAAAATTTTCCAGATTCATTGATCGCGTCGAAGTTGTTTTAAGAATGTTTACATCACCGCACCGCGACAAGGCTTCTGTATCCACAAGGCTCTCCACCAGATGCTGCAAGGCTACCATATATATTTTATCCACCCACATCATCCACATACCTTGTCCCAGTCCAAAGCTCTGCACAGCACCGGTCAATAGTTGTTAAACACATCACACATCATCATCACAGTAACCACAAATTAGAAACAGAAACTTTCTCCCAAATTATGTATCGCATCAAAAGGATTGTCATTTTTACAAAAATAACACTTCTAGTCATTAACCCCCGGCCAGCATCTGCATAGATATTGTACGTCCAAATGCGTCGCCTCGCATGCAAATAAAGTTCAGTCAAGGTGTAAAAAGTAAATAAAAAAAAACTAATGTAGCAGTGGAATTTCCTTCATTTCATGGTCCAATTCCCAACCTCCAGCCATCTGTATGTCGTAGGTTGTAATCTTCTCAATTCCTGGAAAGAAATCCCAGATTGGGAACGAGGTAATAGTAGCAAAACAAGTTCTGGTAGAAGTGTATGAAGTGCCACCAAACCAATTCTCTCTCTTCCCTTCACCATCTCATGCTACAAGTTGCATTCGCATTCGGGTTTGTATACAGCTTCGAAGGCCTTCCATTCCGCTCCTCGAGTCTCATCTTACATGCCTTCGAAGTCTCCGCCAAGGTCATCTTCATCCAAATCACCATCTTGAATTTCCTTTGCCATTTCGCGTTCGCGTTCTCTTGCTTCTTGAGCATTCTTGAGTTCCAATCGATGTTGATTCATTGGGAATCTCATAGCCTGTGGTTATACGAATTAGTATATAATACATGCCACAGTAAGATAAGAGAAGAAAACATACCTTAACACTCTCATCGTGAAGAGCAAGACAAGCACGAATACGATCATGGAATGCTTCACCAGGCTCCCTAGTAGCATAGACATCTCCAACTTCCTTACTCTTCATGAACCCCTTCTCACGATCCAAAGTTGCCTCAATGACACCATCCCGAATTGCCTTTGCAACGATATATTCCGCAGATTCCTCACTGTTGAGCTTCAAGCGTATGCAGATATCTCGGAGAGAAATCCTCGAGTACGACAAGGACATCATTCGAATACCGGTTTTAATGACGTTTTGTCGTAGACGAAGGATCAAGGTATAAGTGCCATCACGTCTAAAAGTCTCCGCATGTTGAGTGATCACAGCCTCGAATTCTGCAATCAACCCTACTCGAACCGCTTGAACGAGGTTAAGATATGGTTGTAAAGCACGCTCGAGACTAGCAATTCTGAATGTTGCACGGTCAGGAATATCTCCCATCAACAACTCAACCACAAGAAGTAACTTCGTTGCAGTTTGTGAGAATCCTGCAGCACTCGGACTCGAAGGAGCTTTGCGAGTTGCGGCTGTCAAATGTTCATGAGCCTCAGTGTATCTCAATTGAATGGCCCTGATTCGTCCCAAGTAGTATAAATATCTTGCAACTTGGTTGTTCGAGGCGCTTTCGGGGAATTTGGTATGCGAGATGAGAAGATCAGCTTGAGTGATATGGGAGGTTGAAAGATAATTTCGTAGAAGAAGTACGATAACAGTTGATTGGGTATCGATGTCTTTGCGTAGAACAGCAGTCCGTAAGCCAGAAAGAAGAGCTGGTCGAATAGCAACAATTGGAGAAGCTGGAGAAGGTGGAAGAGGTGCCAATTGTTCAGCGAACAAAGACCAGTAAAAGTACACGCGAGCGGAGAGAGAATCCAGTGTTCGGCGGTTGAGTCCATGAATGACTGTTGTGACATGCTTGGAAAGTGTAAAGCCCTTCTCATTCATCTTATTATCAAGGAAGAAGATTTGTACGAGGATGCTGAGGAAAATATCAATCTCCGGAATGATTTCTTTTGGTTCCTTCTTCCCATTTTTGGCAGATTTTGAATCAGAATCGATTTCCATCTCACTTGATGATGCCTTGTTAAATGTGGCATTCTCTCTGTCAATACCTATGAGTAAAGCTTTTGCTTGTTGAGTTGCTGTAGGGTAAGTTTCCGTAATAACTTGCGCCAGAATATCAGCCGTGAGTTGTTTTCGAATAGAGGAAATAGATCTGAGGGCTCGGAGTGTGTATCTAGCATCAAACAAAGCAACAGCTTTCTCTAATAATGGAAAATTGCTCTTGATATCTGCGAAAGAAGTAAAATGTTAGCTATTGTTGGTGGATAGATACTTATTTATATATGTTGGGTGATTGCGTGACTTACCAGCAACAGCCTTGGCCACCGGATCAATCTTCTCAACACCTGCACCTTCTTCGACTTCTGCGGAGCCATCCATAGCTACATCTCCATCACCGTCTTTCGGAGGAGGAGCTGATAATTTAGAACTCTTTGATGGTGGTACGACGACTGTCATCTCCTCCTCGCCTTCCTTGGTCTTCTTTCCCTTTCCACCTTTCAATGAGCTCTTTGCATCATCCTTCTTCGCACCGTTGATACCATTTTCGACTGGATCTGTGCCCTTCTTGTATGGTGTTTTGCCAGGCATAACTGCGGAATAAAGAGTATATTTGAAGGTTGACGTCGCCCTTTTGTAAACCTAGACTGATGGGTGGTAGAGCTAAGGTACTTTTCTTCGAGTCGCGTTGGATGATTTTAAAAGTGATGTAATCGGTCTCTTATTCACAGAATATAACTCTGTGAGTATAAGGTATCACAGGATTTTGAAAGGGTTATTGATTAAAAAGGGTGTTATGTAGTTGAGTTGTCAATGGTTGTTGTAGCTGTCGTTCACATCTTGGATTACCTTTACAACATCAAAGCTCAAGATTATTACGGCTACACTTAGCGACCTTTGATGCTGTTTTAACGCGAGTCATCGGGTGCCTGGGGAGCTGGGCGACTGCAAGCTGGCGAAGGAACCTGCAAGCCAGCTAATGTGGAACACCGAAAAAATGGCTTTTTAAGCAGGATGCATCATTGAAGAACTTTGACGTACATAATACTGAGTGATTATTTGCAACCACGACCGTACATACTAATTGCCAATTTTATCAATAAAAGCTTCACAACAAAACTTCAACGACTAATCCATCACCCACCCATCCTGATATCAACCAAGATTCTAATCTCGTATCAGCCGCCGACCTAAAGCACGAGATCACATCTGAATCACGTGTCAACACAGGACATCACTCGGGTCCTTGACGAGACGAGGCTTTAATGATGAGCAAATTTTGCACGTTTATGAACAAGGTCAGTAGATTAGTGTAGTGATTCAAAAAATACTCTCGCCAGGATAGATCAGTACTCGGTAGACAGAGTTGTAGAACGCGACTTTAATTCCTATGTGGGAGGCCATTGCAATAGGACTTGATCAAAAAGTCTGCAATTAAAGCCAGTGACAGATGACGGCGATAGATTCATTATTGAACGTCACATCATCATTATCATAATGATCATAGGAAATCATAGACATCACATCATAGTGAACTTGTATTAAGATTAATGAAGTGCCATGGTATTTAGGTAGTACCTTGGTATCTTAGTACCTATCTTAGAAGGCCGACACATACCCAGAGAGAATACAGATTATGATTTCAAAACATCATAATAACACTCCTCCAACGCCAACGACATTCCATGCCATATGCACATCAAGTTAAGATGAATAGCCTAACACCAATTATCATCCATCCCATGCCCTGATAGTATAGTGACTCCTAAGAAATTTATCCCGATTCATATTCATAATGATTATTTTCCTTTTCGTCAATTTGAATCATCATTGCGAAGTGATGAAGATATATCGGACATCCTGGATAAACAAATAGAAAAACGCCTTCTGGAATTATGGACAGCGCTTTTAATCACTACCCTTTCCACCCGTGACCTTTGCAGCTTGAACGGCGCTCATCTTGTTGATCCATCCAGAGCTTGGTGCGATCTTACGGACGGTTCGAATCTCATCACTGGCGTAACCTGGGATACGAATATTGTAACCGCGCTCGAGAGTGAGTTGAATGTCACGGATTTCCAAAATTTTCGAGCCACGTTCCTTGGCATTCTTACACGCGGCTTGAAGGACTTGATCGACGAAGTTGTCGGCGACTGTAAGAATGGACTAGTAGATCGTGTTAGTTTTATATTAATTTCAGCCCATTCGTAAACATGGTGTATTATGTATCCGCGACAGGGGTAGTAAGGACGAGCTCGCAAATCAATGTAATGGGAATACAGGGAAATTTCATACCTCTTCGACTTCAGCAGTCAGACCGCCACCTGCAATATTCTCTCCGCCACCGGTAACTTGTCTAACAAGCTCATCCAATTTCTTCTTACTCAAAACGCGGTCACCTTCGCCATCCAGGACGTAACCTGGAGTCTTTGCAATAACTGGTTGACCCATAACTCCGTTACCAGCACCTGATGGACCACCAGTAAATGAAGGACGTGATTGACCCATTTGGACAGGTTGTGGGGGTGCGATTGCTCTTTCTGGCAAATGTTTGGGAATTGGAAGTTTTGTTGAGCTTGGATTTTGTTGTTCCCTGGGCATAGTATTCGGGTGAGTATGCGAGTGACCCATGACCGTATTAGGTGTGTTCGTTTGACCACCCGCGCTGGAATAACTTTGAGCCGCAGTTTGTAGTGCCGCTTGATGGGTTAAAGCTCTTGGTGGTCCAGGTGGGTGTGGTGCATTGATAGAGTTGGCTGATTGAGGAATGGCTGATTGAGGAGAATTTGTTTGGCCCGGACGTTGCTGGTTGTTTTGCATTTGAGTAATGGCGGTGTTGATTGGACCTGGCATTGTTGGTTCGGTTTTGATACTTTGCGCCTGCCCAGGTTGAGATTGAGGCATAGTTGGATGAGGAGGTGCGTTCGGCGTAGGAACTTGTGGACCTTGGGATGGCTGTCCTTGTGGCCCAGGAGGTCGATTACCGCCACCCATTTGTTGATTACGAGCTTGTTCAATAGCAGCATTGACAGTCTGAGTATTCTGCAACGCTGGGTTTGGTGGCTGTTGCAAATTCATAGGTGGCCTGGGAGCTCCCTGTGTTTGATTCATTTGGGTGGTACCTGGAGCTCCTTGCCCACCCTGGCTTGTAGTAACATCTGCATTTCCATTGGATGGGCCAGGTGCAGGAGCTTGTTGAGGATGCTGATTTTGACCTTGATGAGCGTTTCCTGATCCGATACGTTTCTGGCTCTCTCTAATGTCATCCACGAACTTCTTGGCCATATGATGTTGTTTTTTAACCTCTGCTAATCTCGTCTGATGGTCTGCTTCATCTTGTTCCGTTGCAGTCCCTTCTTCTCTTTTCTTTCTAATATAATCTTCCATACTCTTCGCCTGTATATTTGTCTTCTCCATCTGCATCAGGCCTTTTGCATACTTGTTTTTAATATCTGCCATCCATTTAGTCCATTCTGGTGATTGCGGGGTTAAGTGTTGTGGGGCATTCCATGGAAATGCTCTGACGTGCTGCAGAATCTTCTCTGGCATCTGAGCAGTAACTTGAGGCCTTGCTTGCTGTTGAGAAGAAGTTCCAGCATTGAAACCAGTAGCTTGATTATCCTGTGACTGTGCGGCTTGTTCCTGCTGTCGTAGAGCTGGTTCTTGCTGAGGTGCCTCATTGGATGGAGCTGTTGTAGGTTGTGGTGCTTGTTGCGCCTGTGGGCTTCGCTGATTCTGTTGCTGAGTCTGTTGTTGATTCTGTTGATTCTGTTGATTTTGTTGAACCTGCTGAGTTTGCGCCTGGTTTTGCTGATTCTGCTGACTCTGCTGACTCTGCTGACTTTGTTGATTCTGCTGATTCTGCTGGGCCTGTATCTGGCGCTGTTGCTGCTGTGTGCGATATTGTACTATCCTGGATGATACTGACTTCGAAAACTCAACCAATTTCCGCTTGGCGTCTTGATGTGCCGATGAGTCGAGAGGATTGTTTTCAACATGAGCCCAAAGTCCTTTTAACCCGTGTTCCCATTTAACTTTCTCCTCATCCGTAAAAATATTTGCAGGTAGTTGGCGCATCATTTCGGGCTTAAATAATGTCGGTGGTCGTTGTTGTATAGTAGTCGAAGGCTGAGGTCCATGACCTGGAAGGAAAGTAGTATTCATGTTGTGAGATGATGACAAATGATTTGAATGATAACAGTAATAAGGGCCGTCTATATTGATTAACACCACATGTGTTCTTCTGTAAAAGGTCGTCAAATGTCTGATAAGTTCAATTTTTGGTGGTTATATGATGAGGTAAGGTAGACATTGTATGAGAGATGGCTTTATAGATCTCACTCGGAAGCGCTAATAAATATCGTCCGAGCGCCAGTCTAGGATGTCTTTTGCCAGTACACATTTATTAAGCCTATGTATTTTCCCATGGGGAATATCAGATGGACATCTACAATGTCCACAGGTACTAGGTAGGTAGGTACATGTTCAAACTTCTGGGGACACTTTTCATTGGTTCATGGATCAACTCATTGGGGATCATAATTTGTCTCTATAATAATAAATCTATAAGAACTTCTAATTGAATCGACCGACTCTTGCTGCCTTGTACATTTCTCTATTCGTCGTCGTTAAATGCAGTATTCCACTCACTTACTTTCCATTCTTGAAATTGTTTAAACTTTGACGAGATAGATATTGCCATTAAATCACTTCTTCAACCAGTCTATCAGAATTAGACATTTTACAAACTGCACCTATTGATCCAAAGAGATCCACTGTATCAACTCATTGTTGAATACCTAGATAGGTATAGGTACTTACTATGAAGACTTCCTTATTGACTTCTTTCTATTATGTAACTTATTTCATAGGCAAATTTAAATATCTAAAATCTACAACAAAGTCTTGGGCTACTTCTATCACATTGTTCTGGACGAGAAGCTAGATATTGAGTATTGTTTAACTAGATAGTCACTGTCAGACCAAACATAACAGCTTAGTTGTAGCGATATTCCTAGATACCAATATCTATCGATCGTCAATTCCTCAGATGTGTAGACAATACGGAGTTCAAAGTCTTAACAACTTCTACTTCAATGTCAGATCCCGGATCCCAGATCATTCAAACATCTATACCCAATACAACCACATACAGTAGCCTCGGGTTTTTATATCGATAAAAGGCATATCTATTTGTATTCTCCTACGTCTTTTCCCATGATCGTTTTGACCTCTCCCCACCCAGTCTATAAAACAAACCCGAAACCATGAGTTTCAGTCCGGATTCCCAGGCTCTATTGGCCGGTACTGCTATCCTTACATCCGCTATGCAATGCTATGTTTGATGTGAATAGATAATGGACCAAACGTATGAAGAAATCCACCTAGTGATAAGTCTCTCGCTGAAAAATGTAAAAAAAAATAATATGCCACCGTCATATGTATTATGCCTTCATGCAATGAAATACCACCTTGTTCATAATTCTTTAATTCGTCATCCCCTTTTCAGTCCATACTCGCCGATCTGCACACCTTCATCATCTTTCACCAAAAGATGTTTATGACCCTGAATTCGGATTACTTTCAAGAAGAAGAGTCGATATCCATAGATTCATCCAAGACGTAATATGGCAATTCTCTTAAATCATCCAATTCTGTATCATCTTCAAGGACTTCCTCGCAGCTATCTGGTTCTTCCAATTCTGGAATCCGGGGTGGTGGATCATCAAATATAAGACTCGCCCGTTTATCTCCCCCATGATTGAACGTTTTTCTTCGTAGTCTTCTAGCACTAGATCCCGCCTCATTTGCGCTTATATGATCTGGCTTTAAATCCTCATCGTCAGTATCGCTCCCTATACTTTGCGCAAGTGATCGTTTTTGTACAGTAGCTGAACTGCGGCGTCGACGACGACGTTCTTCCCGATTGCGCTGTACCCAAGCTTCATGCTCATCCAATGGCGAGCCGTCTTGTTCTTCATTGTTAAAAGCGTCTGTGCAATCGTGTGCAGTAAGATCGCGTAGATCACTGATGAAATGTGGATCGAGCTCGGCTGGTGTAGATATAGGCGCAATATGTCCTCCGTCGGACTCAGCGTCTTCGTACTGGTGGGGTCGTATTATAAGTTCCTCGTCGCAATCGTAGCCCTCGAGGTCGCTGTCTGTTATTTCTTCCAATGTAAAATTGCCCTTTTCCACTACCCGTGAATGCCTGTGGATAGGTGATGAAAGTGGTGATTGTGCGCGTTGGGAACTCTCTGATCGCGGCGGACTTGCGCTGCCCGAGGATTCGGACGAGGGAGAAGTAGATCGTGGAGATAAGTCTTCGACTCGATTGTAACTGAAGTGGGGCCCTGGACCATTAGGTATAATCCCATTTGTTTTAGGTGAGGGACGAGGAAAGTTCATTGACGGTCGTTGAGGTGTGAAGGTAAAGGTGGAATTAGTCGGGGTCTCGGGTGGTGATGAAGGGCCAACACTTTGGGCGAAATTGAAATTGGGAGTCGTAGGTCGCATGTTTGACAGCTGCGATTTTGCGAATCCTAAAGTAGACTAAAGCGATCAGATTTTCGTGTTCTGCGCGTGAAAGATGTGTATGTTGCGATTGAGGTCAAGGTTTAAGAACTGGTGGTGAATCTCCCCTGGCAGGAGAAGGAAGATCTGGAGGGTCACAGTTCATGATAATCTCGAGATGAGCTTGGGGTGCCAAGAAACCTCGCAATTACGGATTCGAGGCTATCGTCAACCGTCAAAAGGGGACAAGTCCGGTCTCAGAGCTGGTTAACGAGGGATCTGAGGGACCAGGTCCTGGTTGAAGATACAAGGGTCAGCGTAACTTGTAGATCTAAGTAAACAAGGCGACCAATGATAAACATCGAATTCAATTATAAAAATAAATTGAATGTGGGTCAATTGAACTGAGACCGTCAGGTATTTATTAGATAGACCAAACTTGTTTCGAAATGTTGAGGATGAGGCGTTCGAAGAATGGGTATATCAGAAAAGGCCAAAAAAATAATAGTTATAAGTTTTTCCGAAAGAAAAAAGTGCGTGTTGCAACTTGCGGGAAGCCGAAAGAATATTCTTATGCGTTTTTTGTCTCCACACTTTACTGATGCCGTAGATCAATACCCTGAAGAAGAGGTGTTCTGGTAACCAGTTGGGAGCGTTGGAGGGGTGGGAGAAAAAAGTTTGACCCGAATGTTCGGGTAAACCTCGAGTTGAAAGAAGTTGGATGAAGGAGGAAGAAAGTAGAAGCAGCCAACAATAACTTTTCAAAGCAAGATAAGAGATACATGGACAATGGACCCGTTGGTGGTACAGATCAGCCTATAGGTATTGGGCAGAAATAACCAAGGAATGAGCTTCACCAATGGACGAAAGAAGAGAAGAGACTAATGACGAGTTGCTTTTTCTTGCGTGCTTTAGTTTATGGTTGTATCGCTAGATAAATGAGTAGTGGGCGGCGAGTCGTCAATCGTCAATGCCGCCAATCGATCATTGATGCACTATGCGGTCAGTTGGTTGGATTGTTTGAACATGTGGAATATGTAGATGTATGGTGGCTCCTTGGGGAAGTTTATATTGGATGGAAAGATGGATTGGATGGCAATTTTCGATCATTCCCAAGCATGAAAAAGCAAATTTCCCTCTCGTGTGAAATGTTCGAGACGAAAACGCACTTCGAATCCTCAAGAAAAGGGAATAAATAGCTTTATCCTATCCTACCATGGCTTTTCCGAGTATCCTCCAGGGCAAGAAAGAAAGAATGGTGTTGCGATGTATGTGTTTTCAGTAACTCCAGATTGATAAATAAGCAACAAGCAGCATTAAGAGATGAAGGGGGGGAAAAGCAACCAAATTTGGAAAACAAGAAAAAGAAATCTGGAAGAGAAAGATTGACGATAGGGTTTATGGAAGACGAAAATCATCAAGGGTAGATAATATGCAAACAATGCATCTCTCATGCTTGAACGATTATATATCTACCAATTGCAACTGTTGATTCAAATTAAAGTCAAGAATGCGTTGTTCGGATCGATCGAAACTTTCTAAGAGAAGAGAGAGGCGGGAGAGAGAGAACGTATATGTATACCGGTATGGGAGACAAGAGAGATACAAATACAATTGGAATACATCATGTTGCCGTGAAAGGTGCAGAAGATTTGCTTTGGACAAGGGAAGAAAAGTCAAGATGTGATTCGTGATTGTAGAAGAGAAGTGCATATCATGTGATTATAATTAGACAACACAACCTAGTTTCCGTTTCCTCTGCTTCAGATGATTATCTAATCCAGTCTCGGGATTTTGTTGTTGTCCCGCGTCTTGATACCCTTGCCGATAATTATGAAGTGCCTAGTGATTGTAAATAATGACTTTAGACACTGATAACCTTCAAACCCATCAATCATACTGCCACGCGATACTACAGAACCTTTAGACTTTTACAATGTCTTTGTTAGAGAGACATTTGGAGCAAATTGCTCTCTCGGCTGATTCAATAGCTTCATTACCGTAAGTAACTGCTGCTCTCGCTCAAACCAATTCGAACTACTAACCCCGCTACCACAGCTTTCCCCCTCCTCAGATCTTTACCAATGCTCTCCTCTCCAATCAAGACATCACCGCCCTAATTCGCGACACCGAACCTCATGAACGCGCCCTCTTTTCTGTTCCCCCGCCCCCACCACCTCCAACCCAAATAGCTCCCGAGCCCAAACCATCCAAGTCCCGCCGCCAAACAGTCTTCAATGTAACATCCGGCGAAGTAGCTCCTGCGTCTGGTCCTAACGGTCGAGCACCTCGGCGAAATACTGCTGTTGCCGCTGTACTTGGCGCAGAGTTACACTCTCAGGTTCGCAAAACTGAGACTGGGAAGGGGGAAATTGATATCGAAGTTTTATTGAAGGGAGCGGAGAAATTGAATGGGGTGTATCCTGTACAAGGGGTTCCAGAGAGGATAAGAGGATTACGCAGTAGATATGCGCAATTAAGGGAGAGCGTGAAGCGACATGAACAGAAGGTGCAGAAACAGACAAGAGAATTGGAGAGGATGAATAGAGGGAATGACACTGAGAGTGGTGAGGAGGACAATCAGCAGGTGAACGAGGAACCATCAGAGATAGAGATCACGGATGAAGACTTGAGGAGAGAGGAGGGGGAGATCAGGGAGCTGGAAATGAAGAAGAAGGCATTAGAAGAGAGGGTAACTGGGATGGAAAGAGATCTAGGAGGGTTATTGAGATGAGCTCCCAGATACTGATTCTGAGCATGGTGGGATGAGTATCTCCATTTGACTTCA